CAGGAAGCGCCCCTAGGCCTACCCGCGGTTCACAGCCTCTTACTCTACTAATTACCTGTGTTTACCTTGGTAATAAGATACTTCAGACCGCCATTCTCTTTTGTCTTGTAACGTCACTGTATCGTACTTAATAGCGGTATTTATTACAGAAATTGCATAAAAGCAAGGTTGTATATCATTGTTATGGCTAGTGCTGATGTGAGTTTGCACGCCAAACTGTGCATTTCCCTTAAATACCCCAGAAACCGACGGGACAGCCGCTACTAGACCGACGCCTTATTGTTAACACGGCGAGTAATAAAAAAATAAAAACCCAACCAGTTTTACGAGTAAGAATTCTTTTACCTCTCCTTTCTACAATTCGTCAAATAAATGGCCGTCATCTTCCCCGGCCGTCGTAAACTCCCAATTCATCTCTTCGTAAGCGATCGGAATGGTAAAAGGATTTTGATAAAGCCCGCCGATTCCTCCCAAGAACCCGGCTCCAGAAATGGCTGTAAAACTATCCGGGACGACGATCGGGGATAATTTGCGGTCGTCCATTCATCAAAGGCGCTTCGGTCATTAATCACGTATTAACTACCCTCGTTGCTGGTTTTGGCTAATGATGCTTTTAAACAAGAGCTCCCGACGGCGTGGGAATCGCTCGTCCCTCTTCAGTCTCGGGGGAAAAATCTTGGTTTCTTGGAGCAGAAAGGGAAACGGACACCAAAGCTCGATTTGGGATTCTTTGACAAATATGATATTGATGACAATAATAATTGGTGCTTCATAGTCATTATTATTATCATTATCATCGTCATCACCATCATCATCATCATTACTAATAGCAGTAATAGTAGTAATGGCAATAGTATCAGTTGTAGTAATCGTAGTAGTGGCAGTAGTAGGCGTGAGGGATAATAATAGTAAACTTCAAAGCCAACTGGCGCTGAGGAGGCCTAAGCCATCCATGTCTGGCACCCTTGGCAATGCCGCGATAAACATTTCCTGTTGTTGACCTATGAGCCCGTTCAACTGTCGACGCAGCGGATAAGGGAAGGCGAAAGAGGGAGTCTCCTAGTGTAACTATGAAAACAAGCAAATCATGTCCAGCTTTCAATTATCTTACTCACAAGGAGGCCTACTCCTGCCAGCGCAATTACATCGTCGGCGGCAACTTCCAAAACGGATATCGCCGTAACAGAACCACAAACAAACCCCGATAACAGAACAGTCTTGAAAACAACGCTAGAAGAAATCATAATTACGAAGATCGGCGAACCATAAATCCCCCTTCCTGACTTTAACATCCCCCCCCCCTCCCTCCCGCTTACCAGGACCCTCCTCCCTAGCATTTTCGTGTGAAATCAAAGGTCCTTAAGACACAAAGGTCACATCCCCCGGAAAGGCCCATTTGTCTTGGTGGTAAATGATCCCGAGTTGGATGAATACATCAGCGTCTTCACTCGCTCGCCGTGAATGAAGGTGATTCGCAGAGATGCCTATGGATGAACTGACTGATCTTTAGAAAATATAGATATATGAACACACACACACACACACACACACACACATATACATACATACATACTTACATATACATGCACACAAACAATATATATATATATATATATATATATATATATATATATATATATATATATATAACATATATATATAATATATATATAATACATATATATATATATATATATATATATATATATATATATATATATATATATAATATATATATATATATATATATATATATATATATATATATATATATATATACATACATATATAGATATACACACATACATATAAACATATAAATACACAACATGCACGCACAGAGAGACAGAGAGAGAGAGAGAGAGAGAGAGAGAGAGAGAGAGAGAGAGAGAGAGAGAGAGAGAGAGAGAGAGAGAGAGAGAGAGAGAGAACTGGATAATGCAATGAACTATATGAAAGACGTTGCCATATAAGTACACGTATTATCTCTAATCTCACTTGTCACCGAGATTACTACCCACGATATCATTATCATCTCATATTATTATCAAACCTATATTGAATTCATAATCTACTCTGCACTATCAGATGATGATACTGAGGATAAAAACTGAAGGTCATCTGACGTCAGAGCTACATACCCATCAACTGACATCTCCTTCAGGGCATCAGGGTTAGACATCTTTTTCCTTTCGATGCTATGCCCTGCCGTAATATACCCGCGCCCTTGAATGACCGGCACTGATTGCTGTCCTATAAGGGCTATTTCGGTATAGATAGTCGTTTTTTATAGTCCTTCCCTCTTTCGTATAGTTAGTCTGTCTTTGTAATAAGTATTCCGGCTATTGGCTTTCAATCCAGTTTGGAGGGTCAGTGTTATACGTGATTCCTTGTCTTTGTTTTTGTGAGTGTCCCTCTCGTCGACAGCTTGTCTATCTGGCAATCTGTTTTGATTATCTCTTTGCTTGACGGGTCCTTTGTTGTTTTTTCTATTTTCTTC